GGGAAAGAGAAAATGAGATGCAGCTGTTACTTTAAAGAGGTATTATAAGGCAACAAAAGACATGGAACATCTTGTTTCACACAAATGAAAGCACTTCTCACTATAATCTGCCAAAACCACACTTTTCTCTCAAAATAATACCTTCTGTGGCAGAAGTGTGCTGCTTCCAAAATGTGATGTATCTACTTGTTTACTAAAGATCACATTGATTTTCCATGAGAACAGTGAAGAGCTGGCAGTTCAATTTATTTAACAAAACTTCTAATCACTCCCTAATTATTGTGTAAGCATAAATATTAAAGAAAACACTAACAGGCAATTTCTGCGCACAGAACATTGAAAATGTCTGGTGATACCAACAGGAACAAGCACCTGCCAGATTTTCTACAACTATGGGGGAATATATATCAGTCAGCAAACTGTCAGAACATGGGGCACTCCTTAATCTTCTTTACTCCTTACACAGATGGCCATTTATGAGGAAGGTTTAGGTCAGAAATCTGACACACAGCTTGCCCACATTGTCTCCAAGCCATGATGTTCAGTAGAATGACTCTGCTTTTGCTGTGGCAATAGCGACACACATAGAAACACAAAACAAGCTAACTTGTTATCTTACTTTATAAATTACCAATTATTTTTTTAAATATTAAAAAAAAAATTATTTCTGTGGTTTAGTTCTCTTTTTTAAAGTCTTGCCATATAAAACATGATGTCAACAGACTGTTGGATTTGCAAAATTAGGCACTTGAAAGCAAAGGAAAGTCAGGACTTCTGCTGATAAACTTCCGATTTATTTCTCTCCAAAATTTTTTCTTCTCCTTTGTCTATATATTAGTAGCACAGAGTTAGCCTGACTGAATTCACTCTGACATGGTCATACAATGCAACAAAGCAAGACCTCCCATGTCCCTCTACTTTTACCGTAGGGAAGGCAGAAGCTGTTTTCCCGAAGTTCCTGTCTATAAGGCAGTTGGCCTGAAGTTTCAGGAGTAGGAAAAACCACTGCTAGTCCCACCTTTGTGGCAGCCTCTGGATTTTTGGAGGTCAGAAGAAACCTCAACCTAAAAACACTAATTTTGTTTAAACAAACTAATGCAATAAATTCAAACCTTACTGTCAAGACTGCACACAGAGCAATTTTATCAAGTAAACTATAAGGGGAACAAATGCAAAAAATAGTTGGGCTTTCCAAAAACCATTTCATTCTAGACTGTTTCATTCAAAGTTAGTTTCATTCAGGACACCTGAGACTTTCCATGTGTTTGTGAAAGCTGCTTAATTTTATAGCACCCAGCATCAGATTGTTCTTCCCAGCAAAACACCTGATCCATTTTTATTTAGTTCTCACTGGCTGGAGAGGGGAGAATGGCAGATGAAAGCTTTCAGTCATTTACCACTTACACAGATTACCTTTCCCACTCCTTTAACAAAACTAAATCCTACTTCTTTTCATAAAATGCCAGGAAAATTCACTCAGTGTATGGAAAGTTATCTACAAAAGTTATTATAATTTTTAAAAATAAATACTGACAATAGTATCTGCCATATTTTGAATGGCATAATTACATCAGCTACATCTGAGTTACACCCATATAACCACAATGCAGTAAAGAACAGACTATTGAAGCTAACATATATGAAAGAAAGAGAACTGTTACGGTGAAAAAACAACAAATACCTTTAGTCCAAAATCTCCAGGAAATCCTTTATTTCCCTATAACACAGAGAGAAGAGATAACTAAATTCACAGTGTCATCCCAGAAAGTAAGATGCTGTTTTGTAAGCACATGTATGAATACTTACATTATTTGTATAATATATACATTCCATATGTAAAATATATGGAAAGATACACACACGCATAGAAAAAATACTGCTGGACCTACTTATAGCTTTAGCTTGTCTCAGTCATGAATAAAGAGTGAAATTATTACACTGGCAGCTAAAAGGAATCAACCTTCGCACATAAAAATGCTTGAGGTATGTTTCTACTAAACTTGATGTAGGTCAGAGGCTGGTAATTGTTGACGGTGGTAAGCCAAGCTGTATTTTTCATTTCCAAAGAACACACTAGCAAAAGCTTGGTGTTGGCCAGGAGGCATTGTCTCGTAGGGAAACAATATGCCATATGAGCATATGAACATTTAAGGACCACAGCAACTCTTACTTTTTTGAATTCAAGGGACAGAGTCATGGCTCATTTAGCCATTACTGGATCCAAAATCTCTCACCAGTGTTTCACAGGACCAAGTCAATAATACTTCTGTCAGTGTGTGGGATGAGCATCTCCAGTTTGTCTTCTCCTTCCTGCCAACTCCTTGCTCGAAATTTCAGCAACAATTGTCACAGTGCCTGGCTCTTCCCAAGAAAATGACCAAGACCACACTGCTCACTTCTCACCAGGACCTTGCTAATGACTTTTTGAATAGTGTTACTTGTGTTACAGTTGTTTACATAAAGAAGCTCAGCAGCTCCTTTATACATATCCTGAGTAAAATTCATTTTTGCAGCCACCAACTCTTATATAAATTGTAGGAAGGTAAAACTAGAAGGAAACTTGCTATGTGATTTGCCTGATGTTTCTGCCAAAGCATCAAGATTTGTTTAAAAATCTACTGAAGCCTCCAGAATCCTACAACCACGACCAGAAATATATTCTAGAATCATACTATGAATTAGCTTCACCAACATGACAAATGACAGCTTTTGGCCACAGGGACCTTACAGTCTAAGGCTAAGGGTACAGACTCCACTGGGCATCATCCTGATTTTAACAGTTCATTGTTTTGTCTCAGGTATGTGCTCACATCAAACAGCTAGTGAATCAGTCATAGTGAGTGATAATTAGAAATAAAATCAGTAGTTGTGTAGGTTAGAGTACTATCCTATAGGCCTTGGGAGGAAATTAAAATAGCTACAAATGGTGCCTTTTGTTTGCATTTCCCTCAGCTTTTCCTCTTGTTGTAAATCACTTCTAAAATAATGGAGAAAATAATAATTTCCTTATGATTCCTCTTTCACTTTTACCTTTACTCCTTTTTCTCCAGGTAGACCATATCCAAAAGCACCATCTTCCCCCTGTAAACAGACCATTTTTATTTAAGTATTTGCATTTGCACTCTTCTTGTGTCTATCTGCTCCTTATTTTACTGACCACTTGTTAATTCAAATGTCTTGGAGTACAGAATCACGGGAAGTCTGAAGTAAGGAATTGCAATACATTGGGGAGGAGCAAGATGACTTCTACTCCATTTCAACTCATACATATGCAGACTGTGCCCCTGAATCAGTCCAAATAGAAACAAAATCTCTGCAGTCTGTGGGAAGTAAGATCTTAAACACAAAGGTGGAAGTTGATCCTGGCCTGACCCACAAAGACAGCAGGGATCATGTGAATATGTACAACATTGTCTCCAAAGCTGACCCAGTATATCAGAATGGAAGGAATTATACATCCTGGAGAAAGCTGACTCCACAAAAAAAATAAATCCTCCTGCAATCATTGATTACTCTGAAAATACTACTGCACTGTCTCTAACTGCACATCAAAGCAAGTCTTCAGAAAATCTAGGCCCAAAAGAAACTGCATTTTTATACTACTACTATAAACCAACCGAACTCTTGTTTATACTTCCTTCACAACCGGCACAATTAGAACCATATTCCCAAATATCAGATACAGAAAGTTTCAAACTCAAATCCAAGCACCTGGTCATTCTCTATTTACTAACTCAAGAGCCACAAGGATGGTGAGGGGTCTGGAGAACAAGCCTTATGAGGAGCGGCTGAGAGAACTAGGGTTGTTTAGCCCGGAGAAGAGAAGGCTGAGGGGAGACCTCATCACCACCTACAACTCCCTAAAGGGAGGTTGTAGAGAGGTGGGTGCTGGTCTTTTCTCCCAGGTGATGAGGGATAGAACAAGGGGTAACGGCACCAAGCTGTGCCAAGGGAGGTTCAGGTTAGAGATAAGGAGGAAGTTCTTTACTGAGTGGGTTGTCAGAGGCTGGAACAGGCTGCCCAGGGAGGTGGTGGAGTCACCATTCCTGGATGTATTTAAAGAGTGGGTAGACGAGGTACTTAGGGATATGCTTTAGCGGGTAGACAGGAGCGGTTGGACATGATGATCTCGGAGGTCTTTTCCAACCAAGCGATTCTGTGATTCTGTGAAATGATACTTCTTCCCAATACTATTAATAGAAATAGTGAAATACTACAGTAGAATGTACCAAAGGTTTGGGGTCATATCTGCACTTGTAATTCACACTTGTATTCATTCAGAATAACTCAAGTACAGTTGTTAGGAGACACACAGCAAAAAGTAGTTGAAAATTTATATTCTTTTAGTTATTCTGAAAGAAAAAAAAAATCTATATTCTCTCTGTTATTACACTTAACATCAGGTTCTAATTGACCAAACTGAAATTCTTCTGGAGTTACCTGTCTTTTAGGACAGGGCAGGCCTCCTGCTTTAGGTTTGTTATAGCCAAAATAAGCAGCATAATGATAAAAATAAAAGTACAAACCTGCCTTCCATGCAAACCACGTGGACCTCTTTCTCCTTTTGGTCCTGGATCACCAGGTTGTCCCTATTAAAAAAATAATTAAGTAAACAATTCCCATACTAATTTTAGTCACGCTTGGTTAAATGAGTTCAGTGAATTTCAAAATTAGGTTCTGCAAAGGAAATCTGAAATATTGTATTGAAGGTCCTTTTTCAACTTTCTAAATACAGACTGAAAGGAAGATTTTCATAATATGGGCAGAGAACTAGATTTTTCAAAGAATATTATTTCAAACCGAAGAACAAAACATTTCTAGTGTGAGGTCAAACAGCGTCTATTAAAGGATGAGAAATTGTGAGTATTAAAGGGGTAAAATTACTGGCTCCAAAAAGTCAGCTTACAGTCTCACAATCCAATTTCAAAAAGCATGGAAAAATTTCCTTCACCCTATGCAATAACTATCTGACTATACCTGTTGATAAACCCCACAAACTCATCCACAAATATGAAAGAATTTGACTAATCTGCAAGAAGATAAAACAACACTTACATTCAAGCTACTTTGTTACGATTTATAAAATCAAACAAGTAACCTCAAGATTGCAGTCAAAAAAGTACCTTAAACCCAACTTCTATGTTAAAGTCCATTCTGCATTTGTGCTTTATTTAGATGTGCAAATGCTAGACTGAGTGATCTCACCCAAAAAAAAGTTCTGTGTGTATCCTAAGACACCCAAATTTATGAAAATGCTGAGATAACCTGCACATCCTAAAATACATTAAAAAAGAATTTCAAATATCTTACACTTTCACCATAAAGACTGTTACTCTTAATTTTGTCAGGCATTTGTCTTTTGGATTCTCAGCTTATCATGATTCTGAAAGTTTGAGTCAAAAAGGAACACTGAAACTCTATTATAATACTTCTATTGGAATCTCTTATTCTGATCTCTGGTTATGAGTAGCTTTCTCCCACACCCTTTAATAGTTATTTTAGCCTGGCACAGAGCTTACAATTTATTTTAGGTACAATTTATTTTGGGAAGAGTAAATCAAATAAACATGTACTGTTAGGTCGTAATGGAAGAACCACACAACACAACATGGTTTACCATGCAAATAATACCAGCCTTATAAAGCGCTAACAAACAGCTTATCAATATACAGAATTTACAAACTATTTAGAGGGTAAAAGTTACATCTAAAGGTTTAACAGATGAAACAAAATTGATTTAAAACTCTACTTCCCTGAACTTTCTAGTCCATGCTTCTGCAAAATGAGGCTTTTCAAATAAGAAAAAGTCCAGAGATAAAAAGGTTCCACTCTTGAAAAGCTCTGTGCAGCTGCGGCCAGAGCTGTTACTAACATGCACGCCGTGCTGGCTGTGCTTGCTTGGTATTTTTCCAAAAGAATTTAAGTACCATGAAAACTGCAATCCAAAAGTAAACCTCATAAATCTTATTTAAGCTTCAACAGACAGTTGTTACTCAGATCAAGAGACAAATCCTGAAGACATTCCCTAGACCTTTACCTGGGAAATAGTTCCAGATGTGGATCCCAAGAACAGAATAGGCAAGCCATTTTAAAATCAACAACATTTAGGGAGAGAATGAAACAAAAATTAATGCAGTAATTTAACTAACAGAACTTTACTTTAATTCCTGTTTTCCCAGGAGCTCCAGAAGTCCCTGCCAGACCCACAGCTCCTGGTTCATTCTGAAATAAACAAAAGGAGACAAATACCACGATGTAAAATAAGAAAACAGAGAAAACATACAGGTTTTTTCTCAGATTGGACTTACATTTTTAAAAAATTGACTAATGCCATAAAATTTGTAGGCTATGCAACCACTATCTACATCTCCTTACAGCCCGCCCCTAGAACGGAGCCCTCAAGGTTCCAGTAAAAAGGTTGATCTTCCAGCTAACACACAAGACGACACATCAATAAGATCACTTTCTACCTTCAGTTTGATTCTGGGATTCATCTAGAATCCACAGTTGAAGATACTTACTAAAAAGGAGGAAACTAAATGGAAGAAAACTGTAGGTGCTAGTCTATTACCTGTAAGTTAAAATTAAGAATATTGATAGAATTTTTTTTGAAAATGGGTCAGAGAACATGATCCTATTTTCTCAAAGACTTTAACATAGATTGATGTAACAAGAGTTTGGCTTAAACAAACTTTGCCACATATTTTAGTAGCCTGTCTCTGAAATATCTGGCTGCAGAATGACAAAAGCCAACTCATACTGTACCAACTAAATGCTTTGCTCCAGCAAAAAAAATTTAAGAAAATTGCTAGCAGCTGTCCATCAACACTGCTATTTAAATAATACCGACTGCTATTACAGAAGAGCCTGTATTGCATTAGCAGCAATGGGAACTTCACTTGAGCAAGCGAATTAGCATCTTGGCCTCATATTTGTAGCCAAAAAGCAGCTGCTACAATATTATAAAGAAAACCACACTGTTCTAAAGATTTTCTGAAGAAAATCAATGAATGTGGGATTTGGATGATACATTAGAGCTAAGGTAGATCTACCCTCCCAGCCCCTCACAGCTGGCTTCCAGAAACTGTGTCTGAATTCTGTTACTGAATGTGACCATGGACCTGTTTATGTAACAGATCTCAAGGACCAAAACTAATGTGTTTCTAAAGAAGCACATCCATTTTTTCATTTTTTTAAGACAGGTGTAGAAAATGCACAGACAGAAAGACAGAGCTCTCTACATTTCTTTAGCACCTTTTTAAATAAACAAGTCTCATTATAGGCTAATGAAGAGGAAAAGTACTCTTCTGCATTCCTTTTACAACGAACACAGTGACAAGCACATTTTTCTCTATACAGGACAGATATATGGAGATTTCTATCTCTTTAATCTCTCAGGGTATTTACAAATGTGTGGAGTGGGGCTGGAAATTGATTTGACTACGTGCTAAGTAAGGCTTATACCAGTGAGAGTACTGTAGCTGTGGATACCATCCATAAAGTTGTAAAACACCTGCAGTAACTTTATTTCTTTTACGACAACAATAACAAAAACCCAGCAACAGAGAGTGGTGTTCAACGGACTTAGGTGAGGATTGGAATGGTGTGAATTAAATTTTTGTCTTCTAAAACACAGAGCAGAAATATTAAAAGTTCTTTGTATCTTGCAGACCACTGAGTTGTTTGAGGAAGGCATATCAGAAAGGGCAATACTTTCTTTAGTGTCCAGACCAGCGTATCACATAATATGTGATACAGACATGAACACTGGAACAGTTAACTTGAGTTAAAAGTTTACATGACCACAGACTAGAATAATTCCAGATAATAATGCCATGAAAATAGGAGAATAAAATCTCTTTCTGTAATACAGGATTGTATTTTCAACTAAAATGCTTCGAATGAGAGTGCATCTAGCATGGACTGTTTTAGAGTATAAGGAAATTGAATAATTTCTTTCCAAACAAAAGTAAGTTGACATGATCAGATAACAAAAGTATTATTGACAAAAAACAGCTTTTTAGATACAAGGAACCATGTGGCATTCATTCCTGGGGAGTAATGATATTACTAGAACAAGAGGCAGTTTCTTTGTGGTGAATTACAGCTGGAAAGAAAGTGGGACAACACAAAGTCTAATGAATTAAGCAATTTGACTAGGCCTTTGCACTTAATGCTGTTCTGTGACCTGCTCCGTGTTCCTGGGAAAGTCTGCCCCTGGCTCTCTGCCTCTTCCTCTCCTTTCTCGCTGCTGATCAGCCCAGGACAAACTATTTGGATCTCTGATGATTTTTTTCTAACAAGGCAACGCCGCTTCCTAGAATAATGTCACTTTTTCTAGGAGGAGGAGAGCAGTTGCTAGGGACATAATTGAGAACATGGCAGCAGTGCTGGGTGTCATACACCAACACACAAGGAACTGTATAAAATTATTCTGATACAAGACTTCTTTAAGAAAAGGTTTTCAAATACTGGGGAAGGGAAAAGAGTGGTCAGACATGATTCTTTTTTAATAGTTGCTGGTTGTCACCCGCCTCACGCAGCATGACAATTTGAATGCTAATCAGAAGACAGGAAATCAATTCCATTTTTGGTCACTGAACACCACACTTGCAAATAAACACACCAACATACACCACACGTTCAATCAACATGGCTTGGACTGGTCACAAAACACTGAAGGCAGTCAGAAAACTGAACATCTTTTGGACAGAACTGACAAAAATAAGTGAAATTCAATCAGGAGATGGACTTCGTAAGTCAAACTAAAGCCTCCTCAGCTTGACAAAGGAAGATGAAAATGAAGATAAGTAGTTGGCTCCCATGGTAAATTGTTTGCTGGGAAATGTATTTTTAAATAAGACTGCATATCAAGGAAACATTCAAGTTGTCCATCCGAAATAACAGCAAGCATTCCATGCCTGCAGAAAATATTGCCTTAAGAGTCTTGTTCTCAAGATGAAAAGATAGCTTTTTCATGGATAAACACACAACAGAAAAAATATTATCTATACTTGAATGTTGGGTGGCCTTCAAAAACAACATGTGTAAGCAGTTTTTCTTTTCCATTACAATCTTGGAATTTGGCACCAGAATAGCAAAGAGGACATATGTGAGTGATCTGCAGGACATTTACAGTTCAAAAACAGCCTGTTGCAAAATTGGCGCTCACATCAGAAGCAGGGTAGGGCACAATAGTCCCAGTATATTATACTTGACTGTAAAAAAGGTTTATGGAGGTGGTGACTTTTCAGCACCAAGGTCATCCCTAATTAAAATGTAGGTTTAAATTCTACAGGATGAGTTTCTAATAAAAACCAGGTGTTAATTTTGTAGAAAATTATGTAAGAAAACACAGAGATATTAGATAGAGATCAGCCTTCTGCTCAACAATTTGCTTGAATCCTGTCAGTATTTATATTCAAAAGGATAACAGGAAATAGCAAAGTGAGGGAGATCTGGGAAGGCTGCCGTGGGTAGGAACTCAGCATCTTCTTCTTGTGTACCAGACAGCTACTGATCAGAAAAGGGGAAAATTTCTGTGGCCAGTGGCTGCACTGAACAAATGAGCTGGGTGAAAAAATGCCTGCAGAGAGTAACATCCTTCACCCTTCTCCGGCTTTCCACCCAGTAGCCCTGCCAGAGAGTTCAGAGCAAGGGCAATCAGACCAGAAAGCAGGAGGGCTGAGCTGGCTTCATGATCATTGATCTGCTCAGTACAAAAGGCAAGCAGCTATACTTTCCTTTCTCCACATCCCCCTAAAAATATCCAAAGTACCAAGGAAGGGAGGTAATGAAAACACACGGCTGTGTGGGAGATGGGAAATGTTTGGTAGTTGACAGAGGCGAGAATTATAGTTTCAGAGAAAGTGACTGAGCAAGAGACTCGCCTGGGATTTGGATGTTACTAGGAAGCCTATCACCAGGAAGCCAATAACAGGACTTACGGGAACACACACTTCAGAGATATTAGTTCATATATACCACTTAATGTGTTTAACCATCAACTTTTAGACTTTCTGGCCAAGTTATTCCACTGGATTATGGAAATCAGTCTGCTTACTTTGCTTTTGAATTAGAGTATTCAACCACAATTATACAGATTGGTTGGCAACATACAGGAGGTTGTAGGAAATCAGAGCATAGACAATAAAAAGGTTAATAGACTAATAACAAAACATCCATACCATCACTCCTCTTGAAAGCAAGCCCTTTCAAAACGACCCCTGTGCTACAGCACTTGGAACAAGATTTACATCCAGAAAGGAGACTAAGGAGCAAAGGCAGAAAACATCTATAGAACTGATTTTTGCTAGTGAAAGAACTAGAAGTCCTATGAACTAAAATTATTATAATTGTTAGATTAATAGTATTAATTTATACTTGATAGTTTCTGCATGACCAAATCTATGTCCTTTCTTCTCTTTTTCTGCCTTAGCTTACTATAATAAAACTGTCACGTCCTTTGTTAATAGCTTGTAATAGATCACTACAACAATATATAATTGCAGAATTTATCACAGTTTGGAAAAAAATACTGATGCAGGAGAAATGCCTCACACTATTACTTTTTTCCTCCATTATTGCTAGGAAGATGGCATTATTACAAGGCTAATATTTTATCAGTAATAATTAAGCTTTATAGATTTTTTAAATTGCTTTTGTCTCTTAGCAATATGTATCTCCATGTCTGGTCAATACCATGTACTGAAAAGAAACGTGAAAAACATCCAGACTGCAATTCTCATTTGGTTACATATCCACTACCTTGCAATTAAACAATAAGGCATGCTTTCAGTATGTTACTTACTGGAGGACCCTTACGTCCTGGTCTCCCTTTCTCTCCTTTTTGACCATTAGTGCCTTTTTGTCCCTAAAAAGCCAAAAGTATACAAAAGAGTTCAGTTAATACACACATAAACCATTACTGTTGGGTTTTTTCCTTATGTGAACAATGTTTACCTGAGGTCCTTTGTATCCTTGTTTTCCTTGCAAGCCATACTGACCAGGCTGTCCACGATTGCCCTGTGTTTAAATGACAACAAATTGTTGTCCCATTAAGGTTTTCTCATGTGACCTAACAGACAGTAACATATTGGGATTTATTGTATTTAAAAGGTCTACTTTTTTTCTTTACATCTTCCTGCTATGGATAATGTGTTCTTCTGCATTTACAGATATGTAGAAAAATTTCAAAAGATCTGCCTAACCAGTCTGATTTCAACATGCTGAACACTGCAGACCCAAAACGAACTCATAATCAACACAGCAAAGGCAATTCAAAGGCTTCTGAAATCAGTAATAACGTTCTTGAAGTAAAATCTTGTATGTGGACAATATGCAAGGCACTAAAAATAATTTAATGCTGTAGTCACTGGTAAAGACTTGCTGAGAACTAAAAGCAGCAACTTCTGCTTTCAAAGGCCTAATGCTGAAAATCAATACAAACAAATGAGAAAAGAAGTTTTGTGTATCTAACAACACTTACATGCAAGTTATAAGCACCTAAAATTTGCAGTTTTATCCATGCAATATTTGGAACATACTCCTGCAGGTGTTGCATGCAGGTAATAGCATGAAGCACACACATAAAAGTCCATATGAGGCTCTTGATCAATTTAAAAAAAAAGTTCTCAAACATATCTATTGCAATTACTTTTAATTCACTTTTTCAAAATTCTTGATCAATCTCTGACATGAAAAAAGGCAGACATAAGAATAGTTCTTACCTCTGGTCCCCGTAGTCCCCTTTGTCCTGGTATTCCCTAAGACAAGGTTAAGAAAGTCTCTGTGAGGCCAAGTTAGGTATTGAATGCTGTTAAAAGTGGATAACTGTTGAGATTACTACATTAAAACTTTTCAACGGAAAGATAAACAAATGCAAAATTATGCTTTTATTACAAAAAATACTTACAAAACCAGTAGTCCAGTCTTGGACTCCAGTGCCATTCTGAATGTTGCTTAGGAAAATGTGTTTTTATTTCACAGTAAGAATATTGCTATGCACCAAATTAAATATTGCTATCAAAAGGGCATGTAAGGCAGAGGCCAGAATGCTTTCTCTCAGTAAATCAAGTCCAAGCAAGTTAAGTATTATTTTTCATTTCCACTGTGTACAAGCTTCCTCTGTTAAATGAATTTAAAAGGAACTTACCGGGTTGCCTACACTTCCTGAGAAGCCACGTGAGCCTTTTTGTCCTCTCTCACCCTGTAAGTGGAAAATTTAATTTCCTTAGCATTATTATAATTTCTCATTTTTTCTTTTGTCAATTTTTGCATGTGATTTCTTAAGACTGTCTAAAACTGTCTTGTGGGGCTTCCCCACAAAATTCTCTGTGAAAGTCTTTCAGTAAATAGCATTGACCACCAAAAGTAATCAGTTATACATCTCTATATGGGCCTGGCTGATAGCACTATTTAAGAACCGGCAAATACTGTTACAGCTCTTTTCAGAAAGATTCCTACATGCATTTGTTAGGAGCACAGGGCTGGAGAATAGAGAGCTGGCAGATTCCTGGCTCTGCTTATAGCCTGCTTTTTGATATTGGGCAAGTTACTTCCTTGTTCTGTGCCTCAAGTTCTTCCTTTGTTGCAGTAAGGATAATGACACAGACTGCTTGGGAGGGCATACTCTTCCTGTAAAGCATTGCACAGGAGGCAAGCCTTGGTGCTGCAGTAGCACAGGAGAAAAGGCTCACCCACTCTTTTAATTATTCTCCATGAAAGCACTAAGGGATTTACACCATACCATTTTCTCAAGTCTCTCATCCAGATGACAGAATCTGTTTTCAGTTCACTCTAAGTGCAAGTGGGGCTGTTGCTCTTGCCTGGAGATAGCTGAGGTTCCCCTGCAACTGATTTCAGGAGAAGGAGAATATTCCGTTCCCTTGCCAGTGGTCCAGGCATGGATCTTAAATGGATTTAGAAGCTATGCTGATATCCATGGGACCTGTTAATATGATTGTGCTTGCAAATCTAAACAGGTAGGACGTATGTTTCTCCTTCAGAGGGAAGGAACAGGACTTTGCTATCTGTACATATGTTTCACATGTGCTCTGGTAGTGTTATTTATGGATGCTATTTATTTATGTGGTAGTCTGTGTGTCCAACTGCACTGGTGTCCTCTGTGTGTATATATCTCTCTGGAATACAGGCTGAACCTCAACACTGGCCAAACCTGTAAACAGGAAAAGGAGCAGCAGCAGCATAAATTGGACTGGGACAGAGAGACCTCCTAGGTCTTAAGAGTGCACTTGACTGGGATTCAGTGATTGGGTAGGAAGAGTTTCTAGGTCCCAGAGCACATGGGATTCAGTGGCTATCATAATATCTTCTCTTAAAATTGGAAAATTTACATATTGAAATCAGATCAGCTGTTTGTTGTTGCCTTGCAAGTTGATGATGACAATGGTATTTCTGACGAAAGACCTTTCAGACCTTTGTTAGCATCATATTTGATAAATGATAGGTTCCCATATCCTTGGCAAAGATATATTTAAAGTAATGCAGATTGGAGAAGGAAACTGTGTAACTGGTAAGCAGACATATTCTAGAAATTCCACATATTTCTGAACAATTACCTCTTCCCCCTCTTCTCCTGCAAAGCCTCTTGCTCCTGTTATTGCACTGTTTAGTCCAGGGTTACCCTGAAAAAAAGAAACATCTCCCAGTAAGAATGCTTGTTCTTACAAAATCTGAGATGCTAAATAAACAAGTCAGTCTTTAGTCAATGCATACAATTATTGTCACTATTAGAAGGACTTCCATTTAGAGAGAACAGATCAAGTATTTCATAGTAGTAACTACTTAAAAACTGTAAAACATTCTTCTTTAGCAAAGCAATAAGAGAGATTTACATATATGAAGTATTAATAAAAAGCCTATGTATTAGACATGCTACAGTTATAGCAATATCATGTGAACACACTGGGAGAATATCTCAGATTTGCCCTGGTACACAGGAGATCATGTATAAAGTCTTATGAGTACACACAAGAAGACAGTCTGCATCTAGAAAATAATGATACACTTGAAAAAACATACAGGATCTCCTTGAAAGCCCTTCTGGCCACGATCACCAGGGGGTCCTCTTGGCCCTGGACTTCCCTGAAAGTAGAATATATCTCAGTAAGAATGTGAAACGTACTTTCATGCAGGAATTGCCAAGACATAGTTCCAAGTTTCATCTTTCAACTTTCATTTATAGATAGCCTCACTCACAGTTTCTTCCCCAGTTCAACCTCATAAAAACCCCAGAAACCTGGAAATTCTTGGACAGGAAGCACTATAGAAACAGGAACTATGCTTTACATTTTGTTTCATGTTTGGGTTGTTGCTTGGTTTTGGCTTGTTTGGTTTTTGTGTTTTGTTTTGTTTTTTAATAAAGAATAAATTCAAAATATGTATTGCAATGAAAAGGAAATAATTCTAAACATCAAGAACTTTGTTTGTAGACTACATCACTGAAAGGCATATGCTTTCATACATCTCATGTTTTGAATGTAATGATGCCTTATCTGTAAATAACCAGAGAAGCAATCAGCCCTGTATCGTCTTGAGCGCCTGTATAAGGGCAAAAATGGTAAGACAGTTTCTTCTGGAAGTGAGGTACCAGTTGTTTCAGAGTACTGTTTGCCACACTGGAAACAGGTATCCAGTTGCTGCTTTTGCAAGCTGAAACTGTCCATACGCAGATCTGCACGGTGGCTACACACCGGCCTGTCATACTTAACAGAGGCATTCAATTGTGAAGGCTAAACTGTAACTGATCACCTGAATTATCATCTTGGTTCCAACTAAGGATTGATTTTATCACATGGGCCAAGTCAAAATGTTCTATGTCTACCAGGCTGGGTTTTTTGCTTCAGTCAGCCACTCTACAAATGGTGTCTCATCAGTGAAAAGACAAATGGTCAATTCTCCAACTGCCTACTGAAGCTGCTGCAAGGCAGTTTTGCCATTTGGAGTTCTAAGTCACATCTTGTTTCAGACTGCAAGGTAACTGGAAAGGCAACAGGGTTGCTCCATGCTTTATGAAAAACAAGTTATCTATCTGATGTTGGCAAACATGTATAATAAGAATACATCTTGTCTCATGTATGGGAACCTGCCAGGGTACTACAGAGGTAGGAGGCTTCATATCTGTCTTCAGCAAAATAAAAATTAGTCATATGCAGAAATTACTTGATCTCTCAATAAATACCAGAAAATGCCCACTTAGAAGACTGTAAGGTACAGATCTAATTATTCTTCAAATTCTCTTTTAAATAGAAACTTCCTACAGGCAACTATTTTCTGGGTATATACCCTATTTACAAAAATGCCCACTGGCTATTCATCAGTAGTTTGCTCTTCTTCAGATACTGCAAGCCCTGTAATAACTCTCCTGATAGGAATTAAAACAAAAAATGTGCACATAACTTTGCGGTACGAGGTCTACTCCTTGTCCTTGAGAATTTATTAAAGACATTTCTCACAGGGATAGTTTCATGAAATAGCCATACTATTGTTCTTAAATCTAAACCCTGACCAATAAAAGATAACAAAATGTTACCGGATATCCAATATCACCCTTTTCTCCTTTCTTTCCAGGAACACCAGGAGACCCCTTAAAGACAAAATATGGAATATTAACTCATTTCTATCACTTAGTAACTTTGAGGTCAAGAAGGCAAAAGAAAGAAAATGGTTACCTCTTCTCCTCTGATTCCATCACTCCCATCTTCCCCATGATCACCCTGAAATAATACAAATGTGCATGAACTTTTCACATAAACAACTATTTACAAACTCCAGAAAGAATAAGGTGACATAGACCAAGATAGAAAAAAAAAAGGAAAAGAAAAACAGAAGAAAAACTAAATAGTGGAATTAATGCTTGAAGTTTTATTTCTCGTGTGCTCCCTAGGCACAACCACAAACTGGGCACTGCAGTAGACATCTGCAAAGCAGCCTAAAAAAATTAACATTAAGTTAACATCCGCTGACATCTCTTCAAAATTCTCAGAATGTCTATTTAGTGCAGGACAAAGCCTCAATACATATCGCATTCACAAACTCAGGCTGTCTATACAGTCATACTGTACCTTTTTCCCAAAAAATCCTCGAAACCCCTGAAAAGAAAAAAGATGGCAGAAGTTAGAAAAACATGTAATAAAAACCATAAAAATGATTACTCTAAATCACAATGAAACAGTATTTTCAGAATTTTTGTTTAACCTTTAAACCTCTGTTGCCCTGACACCCCACATTGCCTTGTCTTCCTCGTAGTCCAAGTGGTCCTCTTGGGCCCTGAAAGACAGAAAAGAAGAATCCATTTGTTTAAATTTACATGAGGTTTACACAAGCTGGCAGCTAATTTATCTGTTAGAGAGATCTGGTCCTGTGGTCCTGGAAAGCCGCCTTCTCAAGAACTGCAGCCCCAGTAAAGTTAACTGTCAATAAAAGAGATTGCAACAATAGAGAAATGTGCAACTGCAAGATTCTCATAATTCAGTGACCTCCTAGGAAAGATCAAATATATCAGCAGTTTCATAGCATGTTAAAATATTTTTAATCTCCTTTGCTATATTTTTTACTTCTTTTCAGTCATATGCAGTGTTCTGTTAATAATCACATTACATTTACAAATTCCAAGTCTTCAGCTACCATTTTGACAAACATGACTCCTGCAAAAAAGTGTCACTATACTAGTGCATCTTAGATTTGAAACTACATACAACTACAGAAATCTCACAGAGCAGAACTAATATTTGTGGGATTTCCGTAATTTTTTTCTCCCTGCTTAAAAGTTTTAGTTTTTACAAACACAGGTTTTTAAAGTGTTATAACTTACCGGATCTCCTTCATCTCCAGGATATCCCAGGTTGCCTTTAACACCATTTGGTCCCTGAAGTTAAAAGATGAAAGATAATGCTATAATACTTGGTTGACCTTCGGAAACTATTGGGCAATTCTTGAAAGACTAAATGGGCCGATATATTGTTCTTTGCATATTCTGTCCCTCTGCTTACTCTGGGCTTCAAACACTGCTGGAAACTTGAATATCAAACAACTTATTTACTGATAATTTTTCTCCTAATGTTTCCCCTGACAGTTTAATTCATCACTAATACATTATCTGTCCCACATTTAAATTTGAAAGTGGCTCAATGTTTTTATTAGATGCACCAGAGTGAATAATTTTCTTTCACTGAAGAAAAAGGCAAATCTTGTACAAGATTCATGATCTGTCATACATAAATGCTTGTTTTGTATTTTTATGAAGAATGTTTCATTGGTTTGGGTATAAAACAAGTGTCACTGGCTTCTTCTGCTTCAAGCAGTTTCTTCTTGAGTGCCTTTTGTATCAATAGTAGTCAATCAATTGCTCTTCTGTCTTTGCTGGTGAGGAGGGTGATGATCTTCAAAGACCCCTTTCAACCCAAACCATTCTATGATTGTATGATTGGAGCTCCTCCACACTGGCATGAGACTGATTGCTTTAATGCCTCCAAATCTGTTAGTCTGGATGAGCAAAAATTATGTTGAGGAAGACCAAAGAGCAGTTGCCACCCACAGGATAAAAAATGCCTTCTCCAGGCCATTACTTTTGACAGACACCAAACCTAAAGATTTGACCCAAGAGAGACTGGTATCTGTCCTTGTAAGAAAGCAGTGTAATTTAAAAATAAGCCCCAAATACATGTTAGCCAGGAAATACTTCTGAACAGATATGGCAGAGATTTTAAAGTTTCTACATAAAGTCCTTCCATATGTAGTCCAGACAGATTTTTAGAAGTTGATCTCTTTTCAGATTATATTGCTTATAACCACAAAACTTACAAAATTTCTTAATGGTTCTGCTTTAACACACTCTAGGGAAAAGCAGGCAAGTGGCTTAGCAAAACTAGTACTAGAATCTTTAGATAAGCTCATCAATTATGAAAGGTTCTCCAACCTCCACAGTACTCATAACTGACGACTGATTCCTCCTCCTGCATTGTTAGACAGAGGGTATATTGTGATTTTGGAAGATATAGCAAAATCATGCCATAAAACATATGTAGATAAGCATCTTTACATCATTCTTTACAACTCAAACTTAGTAATACAAAGCTAGGATGCATTCTTACCTTTATTCCTTGTGGTCCCCTAGCTCCGATTTCGCCTTTTTCCCCAGTACATTTGCAAGACAAGCAGCAGCAGGTCCTCTCAGCGATATTATTCTTAAAAAGAAGATGTTACTACAAATGAAAATGTGTCTTCCAAAAATTTCCTCATGGCTCTGCTCCTGCTCTTACTGGAAGCACTCATCATAAGAATTCAACTGGACTTCGAGCTCTACTAATAGCATGACTCCCTTGTTAGTCATAGTTACCAAACTTCATACTTACAGTCTGACTGTACAGTTCTTTTACCAAAGATCTTACTGTGTACTTTGGTTCTTAATCAAATAACTTACCAAGAACTTGGATAGCCTGCTAGCGATGTCTGTCATGCCAATATCTAAGTGAGTTCCGTATTCAAATCCTTTTCCAAACTCAATGGATTGGAGGTTTTGAAAATTGGAGGCTCCTTCCAGAGCAATAGTTATAAGACCATCCAAACCTAATTATAATAAACATGAAAATAAAATGTAAGTTCCACTGAAGAATGGTTTCTGTACCTTGCATATAAATGCACCACGAAGAAGGTGAATGATACCTACTAGGTATGCCAGCTGTAAAAGCCACACTTTTGATGGTGTACAGTTCTGTGAGTGATTCAAATGAGGTGCTAGAAGTGGTTTGAATGAGGTGCTAGTGACAATGAAATAAAAAGCTCAACATTAAAATTTTCCTATTTGAGTAATGATTAGTGATTCAAGACCATATGGTTGATTTGGGTGTCAACATAAATACTCACATTTAGCTCTTAGGAAAACCAGAAGTTCTAGGTTGCACTTCTTTAAACATTAAAATAATAAAAAATATTGGTAGCATCAAGTCATCATTCCATCCTCTACAATAGCAGATCTAAAGCTGAGGTAGATGGCAGAGAAATTACAGATCTGAATGCTGTTTCTCCAGCCCAGTGTTCCTATAACAATGCCTGTCTTTACATTGATCTAGAAAGACACCAGTGTGAAATTAAAGTAAGCCTGAGGCCACAAGACACTTTATTAGCTTGCAAAGCAAGAGGCAAAGAGATATTCTATACAGTAGTGTCCTGAAGCACTCCCCTTGAACTCAACTCATTCAGAGAAACAACAAGGAAAATATTTCCTTTTGTAAGTGAAAAAAGCACAGTAAGGCAACAATTCAGGTGAAAATACAGTTGTATCACCATTCCAGGGAGAGACTTAGGGAGGAAGACAAATGCACAGAGGATCACACTGGTCACAGAAACAGCAACAAGCAGTACCTTTACAGAGTTTTGACTTGGTCCTGAGTCTCTTTTATATAATTGTATAACACAGCTGGCAATATCAGCAGATTCAAATCCAAACAAATTGAATTTACTCGTATTTAAATTCCCTGAATCTAGCAGACAGAATCCTGACTCACTTGAACAAAGATGAGAGCAGTCTCTAGCTTAATGATGCTGCACAGCCCCAGCAAATGAAATTTAAAAACAACAGAAACAAACAAAAACCCCCTAAACCTAAGACCAAAGATATTTTGAAATTTATTTTAAAACTCAATCCCAAATCACACTTCTATACCTAATTTGCTTATTGACACAGGATAACTGACCAACAACACACAGCACATCAAGGAAAACAGTCTTTGGTACAGCTAAGTGAGCTGTTAGGCATATCTAACTCCTCTTTCCCATGTGTCTGCTATAGGGAATTCTTTGCAAGGTTGTGGTTGAGAAAAGAGAGAGAGAGACAACCAACATCTGTATGGGATGAGGGACAAGCACACACCAAAGGGACTGGTACCATTTGAGAAGACTCTAGCATCTCTCTTTAGCAAATCTAGCCCTTTCATCTCTACTTCTGTTTACCACTGTTTCTGCATGAGTCTCCTGCACACATCAGAAAGGCTTAGCCTGTGGCAGCTTCTCCATTCCTCCTGCCCTACCTCTGATCCTGGGCTCTGAAATCAGATGCTGAAGCAGATACTGGAGCTTACAGGGCAGTGGGGGAGGCAATTACTCAATCTATCTTCTCCTGACTCTGCTTAGTTTCTGGGTGATAAACAGATAGTGAGGACAAGGCAGACTGACTGACGAAACACAACAGATGTGTGTGGCTGTGGGAAAGTTTGTTAAACGTTGTAAGAAAGATTGTTTCAAATTGTAAAACCTCTAAATTGGGAAGTCATCCCAAAGAAGCATTACTGTTTACTTAGCCCAGTTGCTAGTTGTTTTCTGAAACATCCACTACCGACCACAGACAAAGATAAGGGCCAAGCTAGGAGGAGTGTCTTACCTGGCATTGTCAATCTCACTTCAATTTAGATATTCTGATTTATATTGACTGGGCATCTGAGACTATAACTTCTTTTATTTGCTGCTAATCTCCCTCTGCTCTTTCTGCAGAAAAGAATAAATAGCTCTTCCCACCCCATTGCAGGCAACCTGAGAAATGAAACATTCTGACTTTTCTAAAATAGATACCTTTCTTTTTAAGTTCTTCAGATTTTTGTTCAAGTGCTTCTAAGTCATCATCTGCACCATCTGAAAACACAAGTAATACCTACAAAGACATAAAATAGAGAATTTTAATCACACAGAAGCAAAGAACAATTGTATTTCAGTCTTTCTTATACAATTTTGACCAAAGGATTTTTCCTAAGTCATCACATTACCTTTTGTCGGGTCTCATCCTTGTCCTGAAACGTTTCCCAGAGTGACTGCAAGAATTCAACATTAAGTTGGGATGGGCTCTTGATCACAGCATCTAACAGGTTACTCAGGACAGATTCACTGTCAATGTAGAACTTTGTAGATATTGGGTTAACAGTATTCTTCACTTGAACAGCCACACTGCTCTGTGCCTTGGACCCAAGATTGCAGCTCACGTCCCTTAGAGACAGGAGGGCTTGCAAAATCTCAGGGAAATGTTTTTCCAGTTTGGCCTGTCCATGAAAAAAGTGGTGGCCTTCCCTCTGTGATGAAATGTCAAATCCCACACTGATATCCACAAAACAAGATACTGTTGGGAAAATCATAAATAAATGCATCAAACAATTTTCATTTCAGGTAAAGAAAAACAGAAGAGAAAAACACTACAAGGGGAGACCAATGCACATCAGCTAAGTAGTCAGAAGCCTGTGGAATTTGTCATCTCCAAGCCTCAGGTAGATTATCTAAAATGAATCTTTAGGTATCTTTTAGATACCTAGTATCATTTAGAGATGTGTTCATCTTAAACCTACTCAGACAAATTTTTAATTTCTAGAGAAAAATGGTGGAAATGAAAAGCATATTGGATAGATAAAGCTGTCAAAAATTCCTAAATGCCTTTAACTGAAAATGTGTTCTGTAATTACCCTTATATAACAAATCTGAGAGTCCATCCTTCTTAATAGCAACAACATCATCAGTTTCAGAAACTATTTCACTGGAGGTTTATTTTTTGTCCCTTCCTTCCCCTTATTCCCCATCTGTAGGCAATTGAGCATGCATCATTTAGCAGATCAGGGGGCCATTTGTTTTTAACATGTTATGCTGGAGAGTTAACACGTAACTGCTGTAGTATTCTCATTACTTTAAAAGTAATGCTATGCTTAATGTTTAAGATTTGGGTCAATACCAAATCACTTCCATTCATTGCTCCTCATCATGCTTTTTACTTGTGCTTGCACATTCATTGTGCCATGCCCAGCTCTGCATGCACAGTTAGCAGACAGAGCAGGGACCCCCAATGCTCAATATACATTTTAGCACAATTTCTCACTGCATGTGAGGTGATAGGAAAACCATAAGTGAAATGAAAGCACATGCCACAAAATGAGAAGTACTGCCACCATGTCCCTTGTTTAATTAGACATAAGGTCACTTTAATCCGTAGTATGACTGAGTCATTGCAGAGGTATTCTATGATACGTCTTTCTCACATTATCTCTGTCTGCAACTCAAGAGTACAGAAAATACACATTTTTAAGAATTACACCTATTGCTAGCAGTACTTTATTTCTGCTCTGCAATGGTTGTAACTGCTTTTAACTTTCTCAAATTACTCTTCAGATTATATGGCATCACAGTAGCTGTTAACCCAGGCGCAAAACCTATTTGAAAGTGCTAAAGCTGTACTTTGAGTAAGGAAGCAGATGAAAATTATACACTATAAGGCTCAGATAGAAGTTTAAACAATTAAAACTAAAATCTTTAAGCCTGAGTTGTGTGATCTCAATTGATCAGATCAAAATTGCAGAAATGAGAACATAGGTACATGGTTAAGTTAACGAGGAGTACAGTAGGGTGTGAGCTTGCAAAAAACATACTAAATTCACAGTAACTGTTCATGTGTGTTATTTTACGCTTCCTGAATAGGAAAAAATGGGAACTACCTCATGTATCAGGGAAGGAGAGTATTTTCATGTGCAGCATGGGCAACTGACATGGGTGGTTATTTGCTTGTCAGCTCATACCTTTCATTCAATGGAGAGAGCAAAGAGAAAACATCTGGGTCATATCATTCAGCAGTTTTAGAGATACTAGATGTAGCTAATTTATTCCACAGAGATCATTATCTTCATATGACTCTGAAGAATTTTTCTATTCTACTTTCACAGTGTTGCAGAAGCTCAACCAAATGTATTCTAAAGAACCACTCTATCTCAGAAGCATACTTAAAGGAGCATATGGAGAACTTAAAACACTTTGCTTCAGGGATGTTTACCTTTTCTATTATTATCCTCGCAAATAACATCAACCAGCCTTTTTTTTATGGTCTTCAACTTGGAAAAATCATCAACAACATATTTCCTACTTGATGATCCAGTTATCTGTGTTAGCTGGGACTGATCAACATTTCCCACACCTATGGCATATATATCCACACCTTTTCTCCTCAGGCTTTCTGCTGCTCTTGCAGCTCTACTGGTTGTTCGTCCAGCAATGATTACCAGTAAAATCTGTTGGATATTTTCATGTATTCTGCTACCCTTTTCTGCTTGGAAATTGAGTTTCACTTTCTCAAGTGCATTTTCAATATTACTTTGGTGTCCTTTAATTTGTTTGATGCTTTGAATTTTAAATTCTAGTTCTGATCTGTTAGGGAAAATGCCTAGGCTGAACTCTTCTTTATAGACACCACCATACAGTGCAAGGCCAATTTTGGTATTTTGCACAATAACAGCTGGATTGATTACACTTCTCACAAAGTCCATCATTATCCTGAAGTTTTCTTCATCTATGTTTCTGGAACCGTCCATTAGAAAAATAACATCTGCTTTCTTTGGACAGTCTGCAGAAGATAAAGGAAAATATATTATTAATAAAGTACACAACTCTATATTTATCATTAGTAATCCTGCCTCTACCTCCCATATCCTACTAGTCATATTGACAAAAAAATCCCCAACAAATAGATCTACAAAAAGAAAGTTAAGCATATAAAATGTTATGTACACAGAAATTCAGGCATCTAGTCCAAGAACACAAAACATACTCCTGTAAGCACATATACTACAGAGTAACCATAGGTGCATTTCCCCCATACCTACTGAGCAAAGAAAGTTTCATTGGCCTAAACAAATTTCCACAGGGCAGGAGCACATTTAATCTCAGCTTCATGCAAATGGCTGAAGAGGTCATGAGACTCACACACCAAAAATGCCTATTTCTCTCCATGCTTCTTAGAAAGAGAAACTACAGCGACTAGATATGACAGCTATAGATAGCTAAAGCTAAGTAAGAATAACCCCATCCTATGTGAATATACAAAATTATGACTCTTCAGGATTCAAAGATGAGGTGTGCCCCCTGTCCAAGAACCAAATTGCTCTCAGCATGCTTACCATAGCCCAAGAGGATCAACTTCTAAATCAAGCACAGCAGCCATAGCTACGTCTATTCAGAAAGATGGCAGAAGGAGAAGGTAGGAAAGAGTAGCCACTACAAAAGCTGAATTGAACAAGCAGGAAAGAGACAACTGTAATTTAAATTATATTAATCAGATCAGATTATGTTATCTGGATTGATCTGATAGATGCCTTTGCAAGACTTGCCTTCAAACACGGTTGTAGGAGAAGAGAAATTGAACACAACAGCCAATAGTGAGTATACACTTACTCGGTACTGAAATATTACATATATCACTTGTTATATTTGCAGTTAAGTTCTCAAGTCCTTCAAAGGTATTCACATAGAAACATTTCTCCTCTGATCCAGCCATTGTCAGAAGTTCATCTTGTTTTGCACCTTCTACTCCAATTGCAAGGATGATAATTCCTTTGTTCCTTAATCTCTGGGCCACGTCATCCAGGTAGTCTCTGTCATGGGATTCTCCATCAGTTATCACTATCAGCAGCTGGGGAACTCCTTTGCTCTTGCGGCTGCCATGCTCTTCAGTGAAGAATATTTCTGAATGGACCAGCGCTTCTGCTGTGTAAGTACTTCCTCCTAGCAGGTCATCTCTCTGGATAGCCTCAGTAATCTTCAGTTCTGTAGTATACTTATTGAGATAAAAGAGCACTACTGGTTTATCAGAATATTTTAGTGCTCCAAACTGAACTTGATCCGGGCCGACATCAGACTTTTTCACCAGGGCAATCATGAAGTCTTTCATGGACTTGTACTGTGAGGGGTTTATGCTTCCAGAGCTGTCCATAACAAACACAATGTCTAAACGTTCCACTCTTTTGCATTCTGTAAAAGCCAATTGAGAAAGGTAAAGATTTCACATGTAAAATTACGCAGAATCTTACTGATTATTACAACTTGAGTCCATTTCTCAGATTTCTATGCAATGTCTGTATTACTTTGCTAACAGAATGGTGCTTGCACAGGTAACAGTCCTGTTACTATCAATAAGTTGCACATATGACAGATTCTTGTTGCTTCTGAGACTGTTCAGTGTGAACTTCATTATTTCAGTAATCAGACCAGAGTGAGACTAAACTGAATGTCTTCTTAGTTATCAAAAATGGTATCTTTTTTCTCTGGACACCACAATACAGGGCTTATAAAGCAAACAGAAAATGTCATATTTCAGTTGATATTGTGGAAATACTTCTACTAGCTTCAAATAGTTAAAGATATCTTTCCACAGGATATGAGTATTAACTGAAACTTTCCCCTCTCTTGTATACAGCACATTTTGTCAGTTCATACTTAACATCTAGCAGAAGAAACCTGAACGTTTATTTCATATCTGAATTAAACACATCAGCAGGTTTGTTTCCTATAGTCTCAGTGTTGTAAATTATTGAATAGCTGGACTAACACCCGTATTCCAGCTTACTCCCTGGTGGGAGAACTGTCTGATTCCTCTAAAGGGCAGAGTTCTCGCACCTGCAGACATACAGAGCAGCACAGAAGACAGCTGGTGTCTCATTATATTTCGAGCTTTCCTGTTTACACTTGATCTTTCTCACTACATAAGCTACTGATGCCTTTTCCAAAACTGCTGAGAAGAAAAAATTTATGCTTAGCATCTTGGCTAATTGCAGCAGTATTTCAAAACTTTCCTTAGTTCCAAGTTCTGTATTGCAGTAGTGCAAAGAAGTAGCCATGTGTCTAAACACTGATTGTTTGGACCTCTCAGGACTCTGACCCTTGCACGCCTTATGCTTTGCTCTCTTCCCCACTCTTCCTCCCAGCCCCCACTCCCTCACCCCTAGGTGAAGAAAGGGAGTTCTGAAAGCTCAGAAACTGGATGCCGGGTTGACCTCAGTAGTGAACTAAACAGTTAACCCCACCTCTTCTAAATAACTGCCATTTCCATAACTGAAGCAACAATTTTGAATCTGAGTTTTAGCAAGTTACTCTGTGTTCTACCTTTATACAGCAGAGAGAGATCAAAAAGTACACAACCTTTAAAGTCTTTTACGGTCTCACAGCAATTCAGTACACTTTAGTGCAAATGAATCAGACAATGCATAGCCACTACTCAAGTGTTTTTTTAAATCCTATCTCGTGTTTGCAAGCAGGGCTGATGTTCATGAGAGCGCACAGCAGCAGGACAACCCAACTGCTTCTTTTTGCAACCTGACTGCTTCCCCCATTTACACCCTCAGCTAAAGGTATCACCCCAAGAAGAAAACCAATTCAGCACACTTAGTCGGCCAGGTCTGTAAAGATTATACATACTGTATGCAAGCTTGCCTGTCAGTGTGGTTTAATATGACTACATTCATTTAATCTCCCTACAGGGGGAAATAATTAAAGAAGAGAATGGCTTGAGTTCTTAATTGGTTTTGGGTGTGAAGAGAGAGTGGTCAGAGTCCTGCAACCCAGAGTGTTACCCTAGGAGACCTGTAAAGTGTCCTCTATCAGAGACACAGTAGTGGGAAGCAGAGAATTTGCAGGGGAGAAACTAACACTTAGGACAGAGAGGGAGCCAGCTCTGTGACTGTGACACTTGATCATAACAAGTTCAGAACAAAACCCCCAGGATTTCTTATACATTAATAAATTACTGAAAGTTACTATACTTACCATCATCAGCAGGAGTACTGCAAATGTAAAAAATGAGGCTTTTTTTAATTGTGTCTAGAATATCAAAATTTTCAACATAGAATACCATCTCACGCTTTCCACTAATCTCTTCAAGCTGAGTCTTGTTTGCATTAAAAACTCCAACAGAGTAGATAATAATGCCTTTATTTCGGAGCACTGTGGCAGGGGCTTTAACTTCATCTTGCGACTCTCCATCTGTGATCAGGATGAGAACTTTTTTAACCGCGTGACGTGAGCCACTACTGGCTTGAAAGTATTGAAGCATGAACTTCAGTGCTTCTCCTGTCAGTGTGGAGGATTGAAGGGGAGATATCCTATCAATAGCACTGAGGATCTCTCTTTTGGTGGAGTAGGTGTTGAGCTTGAACTCTTCCTTTGGTTTGTCACTGAATTGGACAACACCAATCTGCACTCTGTCTGCACCAACATCTGTTCTGTTCACCAGCTCTCTCATGAAGTTTTTCATTTTCAGAAAGTTCTCATTTCCAATACTTTGAGAACTGTCCACTAGAAACATGATATCAGCTTTCATTTCTTTGCAGACTGTCAAGGAAAAAAATATTTTTAAGCTTAGGCTTTTTTACTTTTTTTTGAGAAAAAAGCATAAGCAGGTTAGACAGAATAACCTCAGAAACAGAAATGAAAAAAAAATCAGCATAAACCTTTTCTAATTCTAGATTTTTAGTTCATTGATAAGTTATGACTGTGTCTAAAACACTTTACCCTCTCAGATTTGAACAAGGGCATTATTAACTTCACAGGCAAGAAACCGAAACAGCATCTTAAGATCAGCCAGGAATTTCTAAAATAAAAATCCAAAGCCTGTTGCTGGAGCCCGAGAGACCTGAAAATTTTCTCTTCATTTTAGTGACATAGGAAACAGCAACTTGTTTTACAGAAAGAGGTGAGCCAAACAATAGATATGTACGAATGAACAGCCTGCACACTAGTGGGTCATGTTTAAGCACATTTTTTCATCAATGCTTTATAGGGTTGTAAGAAATAAACTGGGAGTGGAGGTTCAGTGCAACACAACCATTGCTTGTTTCCTAGTGAGTGCTGGCCAAGAGGCTATCGTTTAGAGAATACTTATTTCTACATCATTACTTTAAATTGTAAAACTGTCTTATTTTGACTTCAGGACATGTTGATCCTATTTGAGAAATATGTTGTGCCTATCTATACCTCATAAAAGAGGTTTGAGATAAGGAAGAAGGCAGGCTCAATAGCTGACTTTAAGAAAGATATATTCAAAATTTGATACATTCAAGTTGATCTACAAGTGATACACAATTTTGGGTGCCTTTGACATCGGTATCTCAATTTAATAGAATCACAGAATCACAGAATAGTTTGAGTTGGAAGAAAACTTTAAAGATCCTCTAGTGCAACCTCCCACCATGGGCAGGGACATCTTTCACCAAAACAGGCTGCTCAAAGCCCCAGGCAACCTGACTTTGAACACTTCCAAAGATGGGGCATCCACAATTCTGGGCAACCAGAGGATAAAGTCTGTAATACACAGGTGAGAGATACTTGGTGTTTTCTGGAAATAAGACCTTTCCACGATACTGGCCAACATTTAAGCTACAGAAAAATCACCACCCTCCTCTGAAGACTTAAATTAAATGACAGTGAAATTGTTGAAGCTAGAAAAAAAGTTATCTTACATTATTCATTAAATAATTTCTCTATCAAATCAATTCAAAAGGAATCTACTTGTTTTCTGTGTTGTCAGGACAAAGTGAAAGCATGGTCTTACCTTCTGGGGTACAGATCTCTTGGACAACTTCACTTTTAATGTTGTTCAGCGAGTCAAAATTATGTACAAAGTACACTCTGGATTTCTCTCCTGCAATCTCAGAAAGCTGAGTTCTATTAGCTCCCCTTACACCAATGGCATAAATGTTAATCTTGTCTTGCCTGAGTTTTATGGCTGGTTCCTTCACGCTGTCCTGTGATTCTCCATCTGTGAGCACAACCAGATGGCCAGGCACTGGAACTTCTCGTTGCCTCCTGGCCTTTTCAAACAACAGTTTCATGTAATCTAGAGCTGCCCCTGTACTGGTATTTCCACCTATTTGCCGAATATTTTCAATCCCTTTTATCAAATCACTTGCTGAAGTGTATTTATTAAGTTCAAACTCCAGTTCATTGAAATGTGAGAACTGCACAAGTCCAAATCGAGTTTTATTTATTCCTATGTCAAACAGTCTAACCATTTCCTTCAAAAAATTCTTCATATCCACAAAATCCAAGTAGTTAAGGCTTGATGAACCATCAACAAGCAAATAAATATCAGCTGCTTCTGTGTCCAGGCATCCTACATGGAAAGAGAAAGTCTCCATTACTTCACTGTTGTGTGCATGGATAGATCACCTATCTCCATTCCTTTAGTAAGACATAATAAACTAATATATGGATAAACTCTCCATCTGGAAACAAAAAAGCTGGCAAACTTAACCTGTAGGTATCTTAGGTATGGCAGCAAGAAAACAAAACAAAACACTATTTATCCATGACTATATGACTGCTTTCCCCACAGAAAACAAAACTGATAGCTTGGAGTTTTCAAAAACATCTCTTTTAAGCAACTACCTCCAGCAATTCCCAGACTTCTGAGTACAGATTACATCAACAATCAGAATACACCATGAAACATTATAGAGTCATATTAAACATTTAAACAGGGTTTTACTGTTGAATTAGGTTCCATGGACCAGCAGCAGTCCACCTAATGTTCTGATAGTCCACAACAGGAAACAAATGACTTCTAGTGTTTTTAGGCATAAATCCACTGGTAATTTTTAGTAAAATATCTAAGGCTACTCTATTGTTATTCCTACTTCTAGACCAGTCTGAGAACTTCAGCCACTTCATTTTGCCGAGGTATACAACCCAATGCGTAAGATCTGCCAAAAAAATCATAATGTGCACATTCTTGTCTATTTTCTAGGTCTGATCAAAGCAAAGGGTAGGCTGACTGGAAGTCTAACATTTCTAGGGAAATCTCATTCAGATGCAGCATCTTTCAACTGATCAAACTCTCATGGTGCCTTGATAGATTTTTAACTTACTCTTTAACAGGAACAGTTGATGTTTCTGCCAGTGTTAGCCAATCCTATTAAATAATGGTACAAATATATAGGCTTTTAATACTACAAAACTTTAGCAGTATGCTAATGAGTAAAATGTGAATCCATGTTCAACTTTAAATGTAAATTACTCTTCCCAAAGGTTCAAACTGAAAATTTCAGTTTGAGAATGTGAGAAGTTTCTCAAAACTTCAATCACAGTTCAGGATAGTCTTCAGTTAAAACCACTTAACCTGGAAAGAACCAAAGCTATTTGAAAAGCTTTACCTGTTTTGAGAATCTCATTTCTTTCAGGGTGGACATAGAGCTTGTTTTGTATTTGATTCAAGAGTTTCTTTCGAAAAATTGCATTTTGCCTTTGCAGGTCAGAAAACACCTTGAGACTGGTAACATACTGCTCTTGAGGATAAGAGGCTATCTGGACCAGCTGTTGATCAGAAGCACCTTCAACACCTATGGCAAATGCTGTCACACCACCTCTCCGCAGAAGAGTAGAAACATCACTCACGTTGTCTTGAGAGGGTCTGTGGGTAATCAGAACAGCTATTTGCTCTACACCTTGCTTCTTTCTGCTCCCAGCACTTTCAGTAAAGAGTTTTAGCCTTGTGACATTAATAGCTGCACCAGTGTTGGCTTTTCCTGACCCAGCAGAAAGGTCCTGTATTATCTCCAGAATTTCAGCTTTGCTTGTGTCTGTGTTCAGGTGAGACACCACTTCTTGTCCATCAGTGTACATTACCAGGCCAATTCTTACACATTTCTCCTTCACGTCAAATGAAGATGCTAGGTTTTGCAGGAATTTTTTTAATTCTTCAAAGTTTGACTTTGAAGTACCATGATCAACTATAAACACAATGTCAGCAACCAAGTCTCCATCACATACTGTAGTGGGAAAAGGATGAGAATAAAGCAATGTTAGCGGCCATCTTGCATCATATTTCTATAATTGATTAAATATGGACTGTTAGTTGTGGGTTTTGGTATTTTTTTTCCCTAAAGCAAGGTTTTCTGCTTTATTTTAAAGTAAAACAAGTTTGTAAAAATGTTTTTTAGCGAAAGATCACAAGCTACCAAAAGACAAACTGATAAAACCTCATTTTAAGTTAAAATAAATGACCAAAAGATCAGAAAAGCTGGGAGATATAATAGAAGAAGTGTTTATTGTTTTCATATGAAGCATATTCTTGTAACTTATGGAATCATGGAATCATAAAATGGTTTGGGTTGGAAAGAACCTTAAAGATCATCCTTTACTTTCTAGTGTATTGATCCAGAAGATATACATGTAAGTTGGACCATGCATACTAAAAATCTCCAAGTACACAGCTATTTATTATATTTATTATTTATTATATAGTTTTTATTCATTCATCTGATATATATATAAATATATAAGAAAAATCCCAATACACAAACCTATTCCCAATGTTACATGAAAAGTATGCTGTACCATTAGGATAACAGAGAGTCTAATATAATTCCTTTAAATCACACTTGCCAAAGGTCCTCAAAGTATATTCATTAATTTACTAATTGTGGAGGGTCCATAGGCTCATATGGAGTTGTATTTCATTAACAGATATTAGTTGCCTCAATTACCAATGAGTAAAAGCAAAAAAGATGACTTGATGTCCATTCCTTTTAGTTTCAGAGAGTACAAGTACCTCACACACACCTACACATGTAAAAGCATCAAGGTTCAAGAGGAATGCCAAGTGCAAAATTTCATGAACACAAGAGTATGTCCACAGAATCAACATTTCTAATTCCCTGTTTTAAAACATGCTAAGGTCTAGGCAAAGTATTTAAAATCCCAGCTAATACACTCTTATTTTCTGTTTTTCAGCAGCCTGTGTGAATGTCTAAGTTCTTAAATGTCATCTCCCACATTATTGCTTTTCTTACCTTCTATTTTTTTATTGCTATCCATTTGGAGCTCTGCAATAATATTAGAGACGTTTTTAGAAAACATAGGGAGGTCCCATTCCTTAGGAAAATAATAAGAGAATGATGGTGTAGCCATCAACCTCAGTTGTTGTATCACAGCTTCATTTATTCCAAGGGCTACCACTTTTACTCCACTGTCTTTAAAAACTTTTGCTGACTCTTCCACATCATCTTCAGAAGGCAAAGAAGAGAGCACCACTAAAACTTGATTTCTATCTGCTCCATAAGCTGGTTCTTTGAAGTACTTTTCATAAACATAACGGAGGGCATTGCCAGTTTTTGGTGGGCCACCTTGCAGCGCTTGCATTTCTTGCATGTGCATCAACATATGTTTCTTTATGTTATATGTGTCCAGTTCAAACTCTTCATGAACTTCATCATTGTACTGGACAAGTGCAATACGGTATTGGTTAGATTCCAGTGGCAGTTCATATATCAATTTGCTAATAAAGTCTTTCATGTAGGTAAAGTTGTAATTTTCTGTGTCCTGCTGGCCAGGAAGCAACAGGACAATATCTGTAGTATCTGCAGAGGCCACACAAAAACATAAACATAAATAACAATTTTTATCTAAGTCTCCAGACACAAAGAACACCATGCTGAGGCAAAAAATTGACATAGTGCTCACTTGACGATAGTCCAGGAACAGAAATAGAAAAGCTTAAACAGTTTCTATATGTAGAAGCCGATCTACATAGTTTTTACTTTTTAAAAAGCCTTCTCACTGTTACAACATAAATGTAACAGGGTTCTAGACAAATGCTGACTTGCACAACATCTGAAATTCATCTCTCTCTTCCACCTGCTTCTCTGTACTGACTGCACAATATACATTACAGATCACACATGCAATATTGAACTAGTGTTCAGAATCCAATATCTAGCCACAAGCCCAGATGAAATATTTGCTAACTGATGTTCCTTTTTCAATGCTACACAAAATTTATCTTAACACTTGGAAATACAATGCAATATAGCCCAATTTTTCTGACAGATTTATTTTTTTTCATTAGCATATTGAAAATTATCATTACTCTCTATAGGACTAACATGGAGTTGCACAACTTACCTTCTTGCACAACTATGTCATTGTAATCAGGTACACTTATTAAGTCACTGATGTCTACTTGGGTAATATCATCAATGATCTGTGGCACATATTCTGAGAATTTCTGCAGCTCTTCTATCACCGGATTTTTGTAATGAAATGGTGGGGTAGCCATCTCAAAAAGTTCATTATATGAAGCTTCTTTTGTCCCTATAGCTATTATCTTTACTCCAAGACTTTGCAAGCTTCTGGCAGCTTCTTGGACATCATCTTCTGAGGGTGCTGACGTCAAAATCACAATGATTTGTTGCTTTGCTTTTTCATCTGATGACTTTTTGAAAAAGGTTTCATAAGCCTGATAGAGAGCATTTCCAGTTTGCACTGAACTCCCACCTTTAAGTATAAATTCTTTCCTGATATGATTCACCATAGGACCTTTTCTTCTGTAAGTGTCCAGCATAAATTCAGTGGACAATTCATCACTGTACTGAGCAAGTGCCAGCCGAAACTGGTTAGGCCCTATTGGCAGGCTGTCAATCATACGGATGATAAATTTTTTCACATAGGGAAGAGATGAAGGTTCCATAGCGACAGAGCTCTCAACTAAGAGAACAATATCTGTAGGGACTGAAACACAGAAAACTTAGTTTGCTGCCTCACCTTTCCTCTTCTGGAGCTATAACATAGTCAGACATTGCAACTGTCAAATGAGACCTTGAAAGAATTTCTACACCTCGGTTAAGAGTGCTAGTGACCACATAGAAAAGTGGATGCTTGCAAATAGGGAAATCTCTAGTCAATTGCACCATGACAAAATGAACCAGATATTCCATCAAGTGTAGTTTAACTTGGCAACCCAATCACATACAAATGAAGGAGAGCAGGCCTAAGATATAACCTCTACCTTTCTGCTTTGCTTGCTTCCACCTAAGTCAGTCTTAGGTGGTCTCTCTTGCACACAAGAACATTAAATACGTAAAATTTGCCAAGAATGGAAGAGTTCACTGTTTCACAAAAAACATGGAGGAACAGGCTAGGAGTTAGATTGCCAGAATGGGAAATTCAGCAAAAGCACAGTAGCAAATCATGTTTGCACATGCCCAGGAGCCCAGTATGGGGGCAACACTGTCTCCTGGCATGTTTGTGGGTATGAGTTGCAAGATGGGGTCATAGGACCAACCTCCTGCAGCACATCCCGGGCAAGGCTGCACTCTGGAAAATGGCCAGTCTTACCTCAGCTCAGCTCACCCCTCCCCTCAACGTCTCACTTAATATCTCATCTCATGCTTCAGCTCACTCCTCAGGCCTCACTTCACAACTTAGACTTTAGTTCATATCTTTAATTTCACCTTGCCCCCAAAATCTCAGCTCACACCTCACATCACACTTGAACTCACCTGTGAAACCTCACCTCAGTCCTCAAACCTCACCTTACACCTCTCACCTTACCTCCCACATCATATCTTGCACCTCAGACTTCACCTGTTGCCATCCAAACTCAGCTTCAGCTACTATGCATATAAGTTTCTTTAACCTCTTGAGCTTCTGGTCAGTATTTAGTGCAAAAACCATTGAGAATTGCATATAAAAAACAGATAATAAAATACCAATGTTCTGGGAAGCAGATGCGTGCATCTCAAAGAGGATGAAGAACAAAGCCAGCAGCATCTTCCTCTCCAGGCAGAGTCCTCTGTGCATCCTCTCTGAGGGAGGTGAAAAGAATGGCCATAGTCAGAAATTTGTAGAAACTGGTTTTTAACCATGCATGTGTATCAGGAAGAGACAGATCTATTGAGGTCCAGATGCATCCTGCTTTGTAATTTTTTTAAACCTGGGGGAAAGTGGAAAGCACTTAACTATCCATCTGTTAATCAAATGGTACTTATTATTACAAATAAGTGTCTTTTGAACAGTTATTAACCCTTAATGAATGGGCGTGTTTGTGACTTCAGGAAGGCTGGGTATCTTCTGCTGATATAAGTGGAAGCAAGACTGTAGTCTGAGGCTTGATTTGTGTGAACTTATTTTAGCTGATATTCAGCATCCATTGGGTAACAACATTCAGATGTTGAAAGTTTATGGAAATAAACTAACAACTAAAGGGGTTATTGCTCCCTTGAATGTTGCTCTTGCTTTTGATAGCCAGTCTGAGAGGAGAAGGAAAAGTACCATTTAACAGTGAACTTTTCTATTTGCTCTACACTGAATCTGAGGAGCTGCAGGAGTAAACCTATGCCAGATAAAGGCTAATTCAGTGTGGGCTGTGTTGTGCTTCCAGTCCTGCAAGGAAAACGACACTTTAAGCATCTCTCTGAGTGATCAGTCACCCTGACCCTCTCTTTAAAGTGGAGCCCTCTGCATGTCAATTCGGTTGCCAGCTGGCAGGCTTCTAAAAGCAAAAAAAAATCATAGGAATAATATCCAGTCTTTCTGGAATCTTAAGTAAGTTATCCTGTAAATATTCCTCTCAATCTCAGGCTAAGGTCTATCCATGCCTGTAAACATCCTGCTTTGTATATGCAGCTCTGTAGCCTGGGTCAGGCTCCTGGGAAAACCACTCAGCTTTGAGCAAAAGATGAGTGAGAAAGGCCCTGGAAAACCTCACCTGGATCCTCTGCCCTTTGCCTGTGGGGGCTGCACTACAGGTTGATCCCTCACCCTCACTGCATCCCTGTACTACGCTGCAGGCACACAACAGCCCGGCACTTTCCTCACCCAGATCCCGGCCCAGGAAATGACTGCCCGGCTCAGCCCTGGGCTACCCTCATCACCAGGGACTTGGGGTGCTGCTCGAAATAATTTGATACTTTACCCTAAAAATTCCTGGAAAGCCACATTTCCTCCTTTCTTCTGGCAGCACTGATTAAGCGCAGCCTCTTGCAGAACAGTATAGGAGAGATAGCTCTCAATCCCTGTCTTCTAAGGAGGAACTCCAACAAACCTGTAGTTGACAAATCTTCAACATCAGTTCGGACAGTCCTTGCCCAGTATCAAAGGAAAATGGGCATCTTCAGGTGCCAGGTGGTGAAAGTTTTGGCAAGTGGCTCTGTAGGAAACCGTTGCTGTCACTTCAAATTGCTGAAGTGGGATGTTGTGTTTGTGTAACTTGTTATTCTTGTCTTAATGCTATTTCACATATGTGGCAAAATTGCAGTGATTCTCCACCATCTTCCATAGATCTGCTCTAGATTTACAGTATAGCTGTATACTGTTTGGCCCATGTTTGCTCTAAGAATATTTTAGTATCAATGAAAACTGAAGTAACAGCTGAAATAATGAGTATAAACTATGCTTATGTTCCACCTATTTATTAAAAAATAATCTTACTTATCAAATACCAGAATTGAAATTCTGCTCTCAAACATAGCAGAGAAAATGCAGGATTATTAAAAATAATTTCAATTTTTTTATCCTCTGTGAACTAAGGTAATAATCAAAGTAATCAATAAATGATGCCACTGTAAAACTTCCAAAGAATTGTGCAGAAATGGCTATAAAGTGTAATTTAGGGATTCCTATCCCTCTGAATGGATGCATAAATAGTGTTAATCCTACTGTTCTTTTAAAAGCTTCTCGAAGGAGAAATTTCATATGACTGAGCAATGTTTTTAAGTACAAAGCAAAATTGCATGAAGAAAGGGACATTTGTTTCTTAAGCATTACTTTTAAGAGTAAGCCCAAAGAAAGAGAAAGATGAAGGCACACTCATGCTCCCAAGATTTAGAAACCGAAAGGTTCAGACAGTATTTAAGGGTACTGTTTTTCACCTCTAACATATTCTTTCATTCTTTTTGACATGCAGGGCAGGAACCAAGATAGAGAAGAAGAATCAGTTCCTATGAGTATACTGATGACAGAATCCTTGCTGCAACAATACATATATTTTCAGGATTATTAGTATGTTATCAGTGAATAAATGTATATATAAACACACATATATGTGTATTTGAATAATTAGGAAACAACTGACATAATTTTGAAAGCAGCAGATTGCCTCTGGAAGGAGTGCAATAAAATAAGTCTGTCAGCCTTAATTCACTGTGGGAAGACTAAGTGATTCTCTGTCACTGCACAACTGAGCTGAAGTTCTCCATAGTTTTGCCTGAGGAACTTCAGGGACCTCTGGTGCTGCATTCAGGATTCTTCCCATAACGGAGAGGAAGAGAAGCAAGAAGTACCATGCCTATGCTTCCCTGCACCTCTGCAGGGGACAGGTCCCCAAGCCAGGACTGGAGTGAGCAACTCTTCCAGAGGGGCAAAGAAGCCAGGGCATGCTCTCTCCTTCTGGAAGATCTTGGCAAGCAAGTAGGTAGCTGTTTAAAAAACCCTACTAACCAGAAGCCAAATCTCTGTGAAGCACTGTCAGCCACAAGAGAGCACAAGTC